TTTTGCATAAATCCACGTACACAACTGCTCATCAGCTGTCTGCTGGAAATTCATGTGAAGAGAGGATTGCTGGTGACAGTGCTGAATACACCACCTGCGGTACACTCTGCTACAAAGCAGAGAGAGTCCTATGACTGAATAGCTATTTTTATCTAGGGACATTATTAATGCTATGAGAAATTCTGGAATTTCATTGCATAGGATTTTCTATCTATTTCCTATATAATTTAAGATCATGGCTGTTATTGCAAGTCAAGTCAAATGCAGAAAAAATCAAAGAGCTGCAAGTAATGAATTCTGAGCAGTTGTGCAAGGATATTTTAGATATTCACCCCCTTCCCCTCCTCCTACCTCTTTATCAGACTAATAAAAACTCTTGGGAACTTCTTTGATCCTTTTGTGGGATTCTTAGATCTAGCGGGTCAGAAGAAGCCCATGCTCAAATTTTTCTGGTAGCAGAAGAAGCTGTGTTAAGTTGTCAGAACTTTCAAAAAAACCCACAACCTTAATTAAGTTGATATCCATGCCTTTAAATACAAAAGGGCATAGAAATCACTTCACAGCAAAAAAAAAAAAAAAAAAAAAAAAAAGCATTTAATATATCCATTCCCCTGCCAATATCTATTGAAACACTCCACCTACAACTTTGATGTTTTACTTGTTTACTTTACTACAGTGTAGCCCCAGGAGCAATTGAATTACACGTATTGCTACCACCTGCTGATATAAAAAAAAAAAAAAAAGCCAAAATACAGTTACTTATCTCTAAGCTTTTTGGTGCACTTAATAAGAGTTAACCAACTACTTTTGATTTATGCATGAATTTTATACATACTATTATTACAATAGTAGTACTCCTATAATAATTACTCCTTCAATAATCCCAGTAAAAGAGAGTGACAAAATATGCTGCTGCTCTGATGGACACTCTTAAAAATGTGCCTCAGTATTCTCCTATAATGACACATTGCTGTGGATTTTATTTGACTGTTCTTGAATGTCAGCACTGCAAGTGGTTACTCTAGATTGTCACGGCTCCAGTTCTGTAGCCAGAATTTAAACATGTAGTTTATTCTAAATGAAATACTTGCTACGTTTGTGCCAAATTTTTAAATTGAAATTGGATCTATTTTTAGTGATCCTTCATAATAGTTTGGCCTATTATGCATCCGTTGCCTCTTACAAAGAGGATATTGGTAAAGTTGCATTTGTGTGAAATCACAAGACAACACAATGAGCATCTCTCAGTCTGGCTTCCCTTTAATCTAAGATCTAAATGTTCAGAACGAGAAACATTCCATGATCAAGGGCAATTTAAGCAGATTAAGGACAGTCTAACTTGCTGAGTTAGACTTGATGGTAACTAATTTTCAGTTGCTTCCGGTTTTTTCTGCAAAGATAAGCATAAATATTTTTTACGAAAATATTTTGATATAATATAAAATAGGAAACAGAAAATTACAAAGTAATATAATAGTAATAAGTAATGATTATAAAGTGTTATTATAAACACTTATAAATAAAGAATAAATAAAAATATAAACTGTTATATAAACTAATATTTAATACAATAGCAATATAGTAAGGCCAAGAGGACTAGGTCTGTTCAGTCTGGAGAAGAGACTATGGGAAGATCTAATTCTCTTACCTGACAGTGGGTTATAGCTGAGATGGAATAACGTTCTTTTTTTAGAGGTGCACAGCAAAAGGACAAGGGGCAATCGCTACAACTTGCAGAAGGAGAAGTTGACTGGACAGAAGAAAAATACTTTACAAGGTGAGGGTAGTGAAGCACTGGACGGGGTTGCTGAGAAGCGATGGAATCTCCATCCTTGGGGATGTTCAAAACTCAACCGGACACAGTCCCGAGCAACCCAAGCTGGCTCTGAAGTTGGCTCTGCTTTGAACAGGGGGATGGACCAGATGACTTCCAGATGTCCTTTTCAACCTAAATTATTCTATGATTGATTAAATGGAATTTGTTATACATTGCTAATAAGCTTTTTCCTGCTTCAACTGACAAATGCAGCTTGTCAGTTCTAGATGCTGAGAATGAGATGTTTTTCACTGAGAAGAGAGGATCAGACTTTGCTGCATCAGTTCCCTAGTAAGATCAAAAGATATCAGGGCGTAAAGACTCTTACACCATCTAGGCCACTCAATTGCATTGCAAAGAGAACAAAATACAATCTCCAGCCCTCTAGCCTAACGATTTGGGGCTTAGTTTTTTTGTATTTTTGTATAAACTTCCTAAGTTGAATCCTATCACACTCTAACAGCCTTTCCACATCCTGAAAAGGATCTTGGCGATAGGCAGCTTAGGCATACACAGTGCTTTCTCTCTCTCTTTCTCTCTTTTTTTTTTTAATTAAAAAAAAATAGTAATTATAAATTAGTTTTATGTCATGCATTATTATGCTCCTTGTAGATATGAAACGATATAACTAAATTATGTAAAATGGACCTTGAGAGATGTGCTTTCTTCGTAACTAAGGCTACTAGTCCAGACACAAAATACTCGCACAGTCACAAAGACGTAAGTGACACAGGCGCCAACAGATCAGCCTTTGGCTTGGACCACAGTTACTCAGTTCTGTCTCTAAAACCACCAGCTCGGACACTCTGCAAGTTCTGATACACACACCTGAAGTAATCTGTTCAGGATTTGCCTTTTCTACCATCAAATAAATTGGTTCTCCCTATTAAACACAGATGTTTGCCTCTTTTTCTCCTGATCTTGCTCCCTGCTATTGCATGAATTTTGGACCATTCCCTTTGATGCCTTAATTGACTATCCATCCATCACTCTTAGGGTTCTTCCTCCTCCTTCTGGAGAGGTTTCACCCTTGCAGTTAGCAGGGCTCTTGCCTCAGCCCTTCTGAAAACATTCAGTTACCTGTTTGTGCCAAGTAGGTTTAGTTTGCTTGCCCCAAAGAAACGAACACAGCTATCTTTATCCTTCACTATCTCAAGGAGCTTCTTTTCCAAAAAATGGATCGGCACTGTGTCAGGTCACCTAAGGGGGAGAGAACTGGAGCGGGAACCAGGGCTCAAGGGGATCAAAAGAGTCACTAAATCTGAAATGCGGACTCCCTTAGAAGATACCTGAACCCTTCCTACTCCACCTTTATAAAAGGTGAGCCTCTTCTGCAGCTTTTAAGGCAGCTGCAAGCAAGCTTTAAAAATCACTGTGACCTTTTTCATAGGAAAATCTGTAATTATATCTATTTTCAGTTGCATAACGGAAATTCAAATCTTAGCTGCTCACAAAGGTCGCACTTGTCTCTTGATGAGGGATGTGGAAAATTACCCTCTTTCACCCACAATCAGTAAAAGTAACAATAGGTGTGATATGTCAACACAGACTTATTTTATTCAGACTGCCCAAACTGCTGCGCAGCATAATATATATGCTAATGCACTGCAATTCATGGTTATAAAATTGACAAAATAGGCCATTTTTCCAGTTCACTTACAGACGCCGTCCCATTATTAATGCTGATGCACACCAGTTAATCTAATTCTAACACAGTATACGCTTAATAAATTGATACACATTTTTCTTAACTAAGAATTAACATTTTCTCTCTTCTAGTGGAATCTCGTACCAGTGTCTCCTTAGTAAAAGGAAGGTGAGGCCTTTTTCTCTGGGAAATAAACAGCGGTGTAATGATAACAAAGCATGGCTGGTAACTCCTCACTGCTAAAGAACTGGAGTTGAGGTTTCATTTGGATTCTTGTGGACAATTTTTTTCCTCCAAGACTTAAATTATAGTAATGCTGACAATTTATATATTCTAAGTACCTTCCATAGTCTTCAAAGAATCTTACAAGGATGATTAAGTTATCTTTCAACAGGCAGGAACTGTGACACTCAGCAAGTTGGTCAAAGTTGCCCAATGTCATCGTAAGTTCAGAATTGTCAGCCTTAGAGCCAAATTCCTCCTTCGCAATCCATCCTGCAGGTCACTGAGCCACATTAACACTGTACAGAAGGGATGTGGCCTGCTTAACCCTTTGATTAGGAAGTATAGAGAGACCTCATTTAATGTCAATTACAATCAATGGAAATAATCCCACTAATTTCAGTGCATAGATAAACATCATTCGCAAATATAGTAAAAAGTTACACTGAAATTTAAGTGATATCTGTGCAGATAATTTTTATTGAATTCTCCAACTATATAAAGAAAAATATTGAATAGCCACTTGCCCTATTGGGTGCAATAAGTAAGTTTTCTGCATAGAAGAGTTGTAAACACCAATACTTGGGCAAAAATCATCTCTGTCAGGTGCAACAGAGCTCTAAGTCAGTTAGAATGCAGAGGTCAGCAAATTTAGGATAAATTAGCCTTCTTCTTGCATGATAGGATGTGCATCCCATAAAGAGATCGCCACAGATGTTACTTACAGGGCTGATGTTAGCCTCAGGTATTTGCTCAAAAGGTAGACAGACAATGTATCCCACAAGTACCTCTCTTCTATAGACTTACAAATAAATTATTTACCTCACACTCGATTAATCTGAAGACAGAAGAAATAAACGTAAAGCTCCTGGCTTGATATCAGATTCATGTGTGGTTTAAAATTTCTATAGCAGAAGTCTTCCAACAAGAACCGGTTTAGTAGCATATATTGTGAGTAGATATTAGACTTGCAGCGCACTGTATGACCGTACGGCTTTTTCATACTTAAGAATTACTGTGGTACTGCCATCACTTGGAGTTGAGAAATGTATGTAAAAGCTTTCTTTGAGCAGAAACTATGCTGTAAAGCAGCGTAAGTATGCACCTGGGCCTCCCTTAGCACGTATGGAAAAAGTGTGCATACGTGGAAATTCAGAGGTCTTTTTGTCCAGAAACACGAAACACAGTTATGTGGTTTGCATGCACAAGCACCAGAACTTTCATGCTGCTTCTCTTCTGGATGAAGTCTGAATCTCCTCTCATATATTTCTAATATATTGTGCAAATTGTCACCAATTTTTAATGTATTTTTAGGACTATCAGGAATCTTCTAGCTTGGAGCAGTTTGTGACTCGCTTTCTTTTGAAGGAAACACTGAATCAGCTTCAGTCCCTCCAGACCTCTCTGGAGTGTGCCATGGAAGCCACAGAGGAACAAACTCGGCAAGAAAGGTGAGCCAGCTTTCTGCCCAGTGTGGAGGAATTGGATGAGGAGCTGAGGTTCGAGAACAGTGTTAGAAATGCGTAAGCTGTATAAGGATGCAAAATATATCAGGAAGCTGTACTTGGACCAAGACTGTTTTATACTTCATCTAGTGCCCCAGTGCAAGGAGAATCCTTTTTGTGGCTAGCTTTCTCTTCTGGTAGGGCATTACAGCGATTTCTTTTTCTGGGTTTGTCAGTATAGCTGTTCAAAAATATCCTCTTGGATTGTCAGCATGGTTTATGGCAAATAAAATGAGAAGGAGGAGTTGAGATACTGTTGATGCAAATACCACCTCCCCCATTTTCTAAGGTAGCAGCGCAAGAAACATAAGCCAGGTCAACTCAGCACTTTAACTACAGCTATTTTGGAGGAAATGGGGTGAGTTCTTAGTGTAGATGCCCCAGTAAACAGGTGTCCTATGTAAAGTTATCTTAATTTGCCTCTAACTTAACTGAGGAGCAAACAGACTGAAGCAAAACCCCATTGAGGCCTAAGAGTTCTTACACTGGGGAGGTGCTACAGTTTGGCTCACTGTTATAGGATTTTATCCTGTTCATACACTGCAATAAATAACATCACAAAATACCTAAAGGGAGATTTCAGGAGGTTTTGATGAGGTTTAGCTTCATTCTGTGCTTCAGGAGACAGCACAGTCTTCTAAAGTAGTGATCTGTGAATTATTTACTGAGCTGTTTAGATTCCTGTCTAATATTCTTTGCAACTAACAGTTTGACCAAACATTCAAAATGTAGTCCTGGTCCTTCAGTATTCCTCACCTCAATCATGAAAGAGAAACCACTAGATACAAACTCTCAAGCGTCAAGGACTCTGCCTTCACAGTATAAATAAAAGTAATTTCTTAATCTGTTATGTGTCAGCTGTTTGTGTGACCCCAGTTCTGTCACACGGATGCTACGAAATGCTTAGCAAACCGTGAGAAGAAGCTGTGTGAATGATTCCCTGGGTTAGGTCAAAACCACATCACTGACATACCTCCAGCTTTATGACTCTAAAAGATAGGCATAAGTTACCAACTTAACTCTTCTCCCCCCCCACCCCATGCTCTTTAATGACTAGCAATCTAAAGACACCTGATTATTAATAATGAAAAATCTATAAAATAATTCAGTAGTCTTAAGAGGTATTTCTCCTAATTCTAAAAGGAACATACTAACACATTTTGTGAAAACAGAAAGAAAAGAGAAGCTCGCTCACGTGTTACCTTATGAACTGTCCTCTGTTTCTACATAGACAAGGCCCAACAAAACCAGAAGTGCTCTCAATTAAACGGCCAGGAAAACGTTCAGCTCGAAGGCTTCAAAGAAACAACAGCCTATCACCAAACAGCCCTCATTTCGGCACAGGTATTTCATATTTTATTCATATTTATTCATATTTCATATTTTAAATACACTTAAAACACATGCACATACACAAACAAAGAAAAATATACATGTATCACCCTCCCACCCCCCAGTTTTTAAGCTAGAAATGCTAATCAATTCAGGTACTTTACTGACAGAAACGTACCTTCAATATGACATACTGGGTAAGGAAAACAAATACATAGCCATAGTTTTGAACTGATAAAAAATAAATACATAACTTTGGGCCAAATTCTCCTCTGCACTGACTCCACTTGGACAGTGCACCACAGGGATATTATTTTGAGGCTGTGGGTTCACTCAGCACTTCTTAGAGCCTACAGATGAATGAAAAGTTGGGATTATAGTTTATAGAGAACCAGGTTGTCTATCATGACTTACATTACAGCTGAGGGAAACAAGCAAGAAACTGAAAGGGGAAATACAAAACCTGAAGAGAGAAAAGATTTAATTTAACATGACTTCTACTCTGGAAAAAGTGAGAGGGTAAAAAGTGGATTCTTTGGAAGCAGTGATATTAAACCTAAGGTGGCAGTGAAGGCATCTTCACGCTTAGTCATGTCTCTCAGAGTCAAGGCACACACGTGATTGAGACACCAAACAACACGATGGGTCAAGCTCATTTCTTGACTAGTCACGTAGATCTCGCTGTTGGCGGCCACGTGCTTACCTCTTCCTTTTTAATCCTCTTTTGAAGACCCTTCTGTCAGGCACTTTCATGACTCGCTTTCTGCCGCTCAGTGAAATGATACTGTTCATTCAACATAATGCTATACTACATGCTGATGTTTGGCCCCTTGCTGTGACCCACTGGTGTCTGTAACAAGGAAGGTCTCGTAGCATCGTTATTGCATTCTTAATTCCAGAGTACAGAGGGACCCAAACAAATCCATACCACACCACATCCAGCTACTGTGTTAATGTAATCTTAGTGAGCTAGCTACTTTCTCAACAGCTATTCTCATGCACTTTGCTACATAAGCCTCTTCCATCTCTTGATGTGTATTTGACTTGGCATTTTGTCTTCCTGCTTCCTGATGGCTGTCCACGCACACAGTTATACCATAGGTGTGCATACCCTCTCAGCATGCAAGCCAGCATGTCTTTAGCCCTTGCACCTGTTGGGAAAAGGCCATACTCTGTCTCCCCTGTGAATCACACCTGTGGTATGCCCTCAGCATCAGGATTTGTTTAATGAAAATATATTCCAAATGTCACAAGAGGTCTGAGCTGGAAAAGAAGTGGGTTATGAACGTATGTTTCAAGAACGCCCACTGAAAAATCTTCAGTTTGGAAAAACAACCTTTGAGCAATCACTTATGTAAACAGTCATACCATGGGTGACTGCAGAAAGTGCTCTAATAACACACATCTGCTTTCTGGAGTATTACCCTTTCCATCTAAAAGCCTCAGATATGGCAGAACAACAAACTTCCTAGAGACTTTAGGGAGACTCTGAGATACTTGCGCATTTGTGGAACTACATTTACTAGCTTCATCTTTGCTATATGATAGCAGGTGATAATACAGCAGCAGTGTCACTACAGGAGAGGTGGAGAGCTCAGAAGTCTTCTGAAAAGGTCATATCCTATCCAAAGGAAGAGACAAAACAAAACTAACGTCCAGTGTCTTTAGCCTTTCCTCTGCTGCTGACTTCTGTGACTTAAAGGAACAAAAAAATTAGGAAAGCTATTATGATGAAATGTAATCACTCTTAAGTTGGTCAAAATTTGCAGTCACCACAGGCAAAAATTGCACATCTCAAAAGCATCTCAAATCTCAAAATCAAAATCTCAAAAGCAAAAACCTAGTGTAGGAAGGAACAGTCCTAATGGTCCTATTTCTCCACCTCACCAAGCTTACGTAATAGCACCTAGGAGCACTGCTTGGTTGGAAAAGTAAAGAAAGATCATTAGCTGAAGGAAACACCCAGTTAGTGTTAGCAAATCAACTACAGAGTCCACCACAAGATTATACGCAAAATTAGTGGAAGAAAACCTGCAAGATGCCATGTTGCAGATGAACATAGCTGAAGACCCCCTGCAGAGTAAGTGAAAAAAAGCAGCTATTGCAGGTAAATGAGCCTTTTTGGAACTAATAGAAAGCTCCATATTCTTAATACAAAGGAGACACTCTAGGGGATCATGTTAACAGCCTCCTTCAGCAACTACAGACCCCCCAACAAACCATGCCAGAAACCTAGACCATTACACATGTACACCTGATTAACTCTTTTTCTGCAGTCCACGAGGATGGTTTTCAATGGGAAGGAACCCATACATTCTTAACCCTTGAGTACTCCTGGACTCAAGGCTGAGAAAAGCACTGTGTCAGGACGTTAAGAACACCAACAAAACCGATCACAGCAACGTTGTTGTGGTCAGGGCCCTAACAGCAGGTCTGATATCTGCAAGCGTAAGAAAGATTCGGTAGCCTAAGATGTATTGGCCATGCTGGAATAATTAAGACAGACTGGACTGCACTTCTTTCTTTAGCGCTCTCAGGAAAAAGAGGGATTGCAGAGAAGACATATTACACGATCCGCTCATGGGGTGTATTTGGAAGGAATCCCAGAGACAGGCTTGCTATGGAACAGGAGAGCTGACTCTTATAGAAACTGCTTTACATAAAGAAGATTAAGAAATGAGGAACAGGAAGAGTAATAGTCTCCTTTCCCAAACTATCAGTCGCTATAAAGGCTAGTCCGAACAGAGCTCGTCTCTAATTCTTCAAGATATCCAGAGTCATGTTTTCTCCTCCTCTCCACACTCTCATTTTATTTTGATCCACTCAAAGCAGCAGAGATACTAACAAAGAGAAAGCTTTAACCCCCTAAAAAGGGGATCTTTTATTTTGAGTAGCATGTGCTCAGGTTACAAGCTGGTTCCATCTGCAGAGAAGAGCATTCCTTTCTTCAGGTATCGCAACAATTTCAAACACACTGGAGTTAACATAGAATGTAATTTTGTATTGGATTTGCATTTTCTCTTGGATTTCTGCTGGTGATAAGAAAGAAAATCATTGCTACAGTTAAAATCATGCTTCCTCCTAGTTACACCTAAATGAACATTGAATTAATTGCATCACAATCTTTTGTAATTAATTGTATTTCTCAACAAGATTTTTTTTTTTTTTACACAGTAAATGAATATACTATGTTCTAGCATTTAGTAGCATTATATTCTTCATTATTTAAATTTTCCAAAGGTTGGACTGAGGAAGACAATCAGTGGATAACCCAGATAAACAGACTCCAAAAGCTGATTGACAGACTGGAAAAGAAGGTGTGCATTTTTTTTTTTTAATCTGTTCTTTCTCTCATTTTCAGTAAAGATTTCTGAAGCAATCCTTAAACCACAAATGCCCATCAATGTCCTAGTCATACTGTCTTTCCAACAGGTAATGGCTCAAACTTCAGCATCAGCTACATGAGCTAAAACTCATTAAACGCCTACATTTTCTGTTCACTTTGCTTATTCCTGTTTCATGAGAGCACGATCCAATCAGTATCTACAGAGCTGGTTTCTGGAGTTGACAGACAAATGAGCATGTTTAATGCTATACATGCACATGCTGTATATATACAAAGCACACTCCTTGCATATATGAATAACATAAAACATTACCGTGGGACTCTGACGGTTGCTGTATATGCAATGTACTGTGCACAACATTCTAAAATATGTAAGTTTCAGGCTTCAGGCAAAGATGTGTGGCTAACAGATTTTTTGATTTTCTGGAAAAAACAAAAAGGATTGATTTTGACAAAACAAAATGGCAAATCCAAAAATAAAGATACTTATTTTATTTTGAGATATTTTAACCCTTTCTAGGAAACAACTAACAATTTGGAGATGGAAGGATAACTTCAAATAAAAAAAAAAAAATCAGAAATTTAACAACGGACCCGAAGTTTGGGGTTTTCCATCCCTTCCCTCTCCCACATCAATCCCCACAGGCCAGGCTGTTGGGTTGAATTTGATCAAAATTCTCAAAACGTTAGGAAAAAGTTGCTGGTCCTTTTTAAAATTACCTGTTCCCAAGTCACAAATCCCATCATTAGAAACTACGGCCATTCCCCAAAGATAACGCACCACGATCTTCCTGCTACCAGCTATCCAACAGTTTTCCACACTCCCCTTTGACATCTCCACAGATACAACTTTTCATGGAGATCTGAAAAGCCACATTAATGTATGACTGGAAGATATTGCTGCATTTACTTATGCTTGTCCTGGGGAACATGGTCCAAGCCTCACCTTTAGGGTGTGATCTTTTTTTTCCCCTCTTGTCCTGTCCAAACTTTCCTACTAGAATTTGACAGAAAGATTTATTTCTGATATTTAAAAATTCAAACACTTAGCTAATAAATACAGTCTCAGCAAGCACCGATGCAGTTCGCACCCTCCTGCCAGGGGAGTTTCCGGGCGCCTGGAAGCCACGGGAGCTGCCCTGGCTCCTTGGCTGCACGGGCCCCCACACAGCAGTTCCTGAGCTGGAGCTCAGCCCTCCAAGGGTCTCTAACTCTGGGGAAGTTTGGCAAATGACCCATCTGATTCAAAGACACCAAGGCTTCCTAGGGCTTCTAAGGAGCTGAGTAACATTCCTCTGTCTACTTTTCCAGTTTTCATTCAGGCCTAGTGCTACTTCATACTTCAAACCTAGTGCTACTTCATACTTCAAAAGATGTTTTCTGTCTGTGTGTGGTGGCTTTTTCTTCTTTTGTAGAAGGAAAGGAGGGCAGAAGAAAAAGTGAGGTATCAATTCCTGTATAGTGCCCTATATGAAGTGCCTCTACTGACAGACAGTTTCAGATAGCTGCTAAAGGAGAAGCTGAATTCAGTGAATTTTGGGACCTGGGAGATTTCCTTCTTCCTGGCCTATGAGAGCCAAGAGTGGTGCACTCACCTGCCCAGGAGGTTTCTCCTGTCTGTCTAATAGACGCTGCTGCTGCTGTTCCTCTCTGTAGGTCCAGCCAGTGGCAAGGCTGAGCACGCGCAACCGTGAGGCAGAGACACACATACCCACACTCAGCTGGTCACGCAGACCAACACAGGCGCCTTAACCAGCACCCATGTAAACACAGGCAGCCCTCACACGGGAGCATCCATGCCGATCCTGTGGAGGATGTCTTAGTGAAACACATACACACCCTCACTGTCTCTAGAGGGATAAAACACACCACATTCACAGATCCCTCAAATATTAGCAGGGGCTTTAAGTCCATCTAATATTCATGCCTGGATCCCAGGCCCCTTCCCAGTCATTGGCTCAGACCTTGGGCCTTTGCAGATGTGGGTCTCCCCCTACTCGCCTGCTAGTCCAACTTGAAGTTCACTAAAAAATTATACACGTACATGCACACAGAAAACACTTTGGAATTGGATTTAGTAAGTAGATACAATAATTAGGCGTGATCAGGCACAAGGCTCGGCAAGTGTACTCGCCAGCAATTTGTTTACATGCACCTGGCTTCGCTCATGTTCCCTCTTCTCCATTTTCCCGCACTCGTCCTTCCCATACCCATCTTGACCCATCCCGTTCTCTGCCATTGTCCCCTGCCAAATAAATGAGCTGTCCATAATTACCTCTTCTCCATTGATCTGAATTTTGCTGCATCTGTACCAAAATTTGCTAATTCTGTTACCTAGGCCATCCCAGCTTTATGTGGTATTACCTACCGATAGTTACCCTAGGTACTGCTGGCCTTGCATGATTCCACTCCCCCAAAGGTCCTCGATATTCCCTTCAATTATCTATGAAATCTGATGGTCTCTTCTCTAACTTCCCTTTAACCGTCTGTGAAATTCTGCCATTCCTCCCGGCACTCTGTAACCTTCGCCAGCTTCTCACTCAGTTTAGCAGCTTCTCATTCACATCCAGCCATTCCTCATGATCAGTCAGTTAGCTAAGCCTCGGGCCAGGGGATAGCCATCTGCCTGCATACAATAGCTTCCTCCTTAGAGTTTATTTCTGCATGAGCAAAGTAATTACACAGCAGTTGCCACATTAATGACATTTCAGTAGCAACTTAATTTTTCTGAATAGATATAAATTAGATTTTGAATTTTTGAAATTCAACCATCTCTTTTGGTCCAGCTGTACTTCCAACTCTGCTTTGGAAGTAGCAGCTTGCTAGCCTGCCAGTGACCTCCTGAAACGCAAAAGGAGTTTAAGGAAATTTAAAATTTAAAAGGATTTTACTGAAAAAAAAAATGAAGCTTGGTATATGGCAATAATGCAATAGAAATGTTACAAAAAAACAACCCTCTTCTCTATCTGAAGTCTCTACACTGAGGAATAAGCTATTAAAGATTTTTTCCCCACACACATTTCATGTTTTTCTACACAAATTCCGCATGAGAGGTACAGTTACAAGCAGTTAATGTGTGACTACTATTTGATTGCTGACTTGCTCTGCCATGTGCTGTTGGTGGGGTTTCCACGTTCATTTGGATTCTAGCTGCACACGTCTTACCAGCTTTTCAGTGAGTATAGTATCTGTGCTGGCAAAATGCCTGCTGCCTGAGGCTGATCAATCCTTACCCAACTGCATGTAGAAAAATTCATTTATCTCCATGACACAAGAATCGTTTGTAGTAAGTGAAGCACCACTAACAAACAGTGAATTTTGCTCTGCCTGCTTATTGCAAATAATTCTGCTTTTTTCAGGTGCTAAAATAGCTGTGAATCACTGGGTATCACATGGATCGACCATGTAAATTATAATTTTGTATGCATTACTAGATGATGCTTGCCTAAATCACAAAATCATGAAGCACACATCTAGCTTCCATATGGAGCAAGCATACCATTTCCTTACAAATTTATCTGTTTGCTGCTGCCTAGTCTGCCTTCAGAAGCAAGAGCAGCAGAAGTGTGCTGAAACCTACTGTGAATCATTTGCACATTGTTTTACAAGCCTAGAAAGCAGTCACTTGTGGCTGCAACCATTTCTGGAAAAGTTGCTTTTGTATAAAGTTTTCATTATGACATAAGAGTAGTTAACATTCAGCTAATTCCAAATGACCGTGCTTGCTCACCTCCATACGCCACATGACAATTCAAGCAGATAGCCATCTTTTCTGAATAAAGTCCAACGTATGCTTGCAACATGTGCTTGCAAACAAACAGATTTGTTGCAAATGAAGAACTACCCACTTGTGGTTTAAGTTACTTGATTTGAAAAAGCAAAAACATTAAAGTATACAAAAGAGCCTAGGTTGAATTTAACCATTGAAGTGTGCAACATTCTGCACACAATGCTTATATTTGACTTGCAGCTAATAAGCAAGGGGTTTAATTAAAATGTCTGGAGATAAAACATAATCTAGCTATTGGAATAGTTTACTGAAAAAGTAAGTCTAGAATACATCTGTAGTATTACCTCTTATATTTCCATTTTTTCCAATTGCCTGAAAGGACCTAAAGCTTGAGCCATTTGAAGAAGAAGTTTTAGAAGAAAATGCAAGATCTGTAAGTGTTTTTCAAGATAATGACTTTTGACATTTGATTTTCAATTCTAGGTATTGAGACAACAATCTCACCTGATCTCAGTTTGTTAAAAGGGCGTGGGGTTTTCGAGTGATAAGAATCCATTTTAGTCAGCAAAATACACTGTGCAAGAAGCAACAAAGCAAAACTTGTAATACTTGGGCATAGCTTTTATAATTTTTGCATTATTTTCAAAAGGTACAGTGAGCCAAAAACTCAGCTCACAAAAGGAGTAAAAGGTATCATTACCAAGATTTAGCAAAATTGACAGAAACATTTATGGGATTGTATCTTCTTTGTTCCTTTAACATCACTTAAAGCTGCCTGTGTGCTTCAAATTGGGTTGTACAGCCCCCTTCCCTCAAAAAACTGCTACAACAAACCTTAAGTAGTAAGATGAGAGAACATCTAGCATTAAGAGATAATGACCTTGCAAAACCAAAATCATACTCAGAAATAAACTTACTTATAATTGTGTTCATGTCTCGATTTAACTCAATATTTCAAATACCCTAGTATTCCTAAATTTCCAGACTTTGATCCTAAGAAAATGAACATCAAATATAGAAAAAAAACCCAAAATACATATTTATCACATTGCTTATTTCAAAGATTTACATTAGATTTTTTTTCTTAAATGAGATCAAACAAGATTACTAGCCTGGCTGCTTTATGAGGGGGTAAACCATGACACAGCAGCATCAATAATCAAGACAGAAGAGAGTCAAAACCCGTGCTATAGATGAAATTGTATTAGTCAGGAAGCACACAGTGTTTCTTTAAATATTTAATCAGTGAAATTGGAACGTTTCAATGGATGAGTCAATATGTAAGCTACTAAAAGTGATGATATTGAATGATAAGCATAGAAACTAAGATCTAAGGTCTTCTCTGATGCTAAGTGTTTCTACAGTTTTCTCTATTTATCAAGATTTTTTTTTTTTTTTTTAAATCGAAAGGTGGAGGAAAAAACTCCCTATTCATTATCTAACATGGGCTGCCTTAGGCATCTCACTCAGATATGAGTCAGACCTCTGAAAGGTAGAAGACTGCATTTCCTCAACAGTCAGAAAAGGAGATAAGCACCTCAATGAAATGCAGTATTGCATCTAATTCAGATTATGTGAATAGCCTCTTACCTCAGACTTCACTCTTGCTTGCATATAGATTCACCCAAGGAAATGTGTTGACTTCATTATTAAGTATTTCAAAGTTCAATGTTTGCTTCACGCTTTTCCAGAGAGACTCTTCCATCCAGGGTTTGGACAACTCTCATCATTTTTCGGAGGTGGACACCCATTTGGGGCATTCTCCTTCTTAGAATTTCCTTCTGTCCATCAGCCTACGTAGATGTAAAAGCCACGTTCATCCGCTATTCTAGTTATCCATTTCAGAGCACTGAAACAGGCACTGCAAACTTTTAAGGGAACTTGTGGCTTTTCTTCAGTGATTAAATGTTTTTTGTTGTTTTATAACAGATTTTCTTACCTTAAAGTACAAGGAATTCATAGCATCATATGGCAATAATACTGTACTGTTATTTGTATCAGCACATAATGATTGTTCAACGTCAAATGTCTGTGATAGAAGAAGATATAGAGGCGTTCCGGCTTGCTCTGAAACAGTACGTGGAATCCGCTTCTGCTCAGGATAGCTGCTTCCAGTAAGTACAGTGTTATTACTTGGGCTGAAGGAAGGAATGTAACGTATTTCCTTGAATAACCTCTAGGTTGCGGTATACTATTTATGAGGAGAGAATCGGCAACATCTTCCTTCCTGGCTGGATAATGCATGTGTATTAATATAGAACAATTAAAAGACAACTAAAACTAGAAAGGGCTGTCAAAAGTATATGTGAGTACTTTCAGTAATACCACAAAGTCTAACAAACTAAAGAAAAATTGAAACTTACTGTGAAAAATCTGCATCCTATCACTCCCCCCCTTTTTTTTTTTTTTTTAAAAAAAAAAAAAACACCACACACCATCACCCACAGAGGATATCCCAAAGATAGCCCACCCTCTGTTAAGGCTTCTCAGCTGTGCAGGTCACCAGTTCACAACTTCCCAAGGCTCTTAGGCTGACAGCCTCCTTTGGCATACTCATTTGCCATCCTCTACTAGTGATCACCCAGGTAAGCGAGCAACTATCAGCTTGGTTGCCAGCTTTCTGCTTGGAATTTTTCCAAATCATCCATTTCCGTTACCTTTTTAAAATTTCCAGTCATAATGAAGAATACAAAATTTTTTTTGAAAAGCACAATTTCCATGACACAGAAAGTGTGGTTCTGCTTTGCTCCTTTTAGAATGAAATAAAGGATTAGACCAGGGGCCAAGAATTGGCTTCGAGTCACCACCATACTGAATTTAACTGAACATACTTGAGAAAGCTACTAACATATACACCAGAGATCATTATGAAACAAGTATTTTTATGTGTACAAACACAGAATCTTCTCATACATTCGAAGGTTGCACTACATGTCCTTAATTTCTGAGCTTTGCCACTATGAGATCATCACGCTTATGAAGATCTTATCAGTAGGCTTTATACAAACAAGAAAAATAAAAGTTAAACTGGAAGGAAAAAAAATGACCATTCACTGGTTCACTTGTAATGGTGGACCTACTGGGAAAATAAAATTCTTGCGTTGAGTAAAGAGATGGAAAAAAACAAAGAGGAGAAACCCCTTCTCCTTCCGAAAACGAACATCCATCGAAACGCTTCGGTGACTACAAACTTGTCTGTGGAGAGAGCCTACGCTACTGCAGAACACAACTTAAGGAAACGATGACAAGAAAAACCTTTTCTTTCCCAAGTTTGCAGGCATTTGGTATGTCAGTGGTGCCACCTGCCGATGGTTTCTGAGTTTATCCGTTTTTCAGCATAGCCACATTTACAGTTCTTGATCATTTGTAGTATTTTACAATATACTTTTTCACACAGCTGGAGACAGTACCACTGACAAATCACATGAATTCATTATATTATCACTATTTCATTTCAGCATGAAATATAATCTGAGACCAGTTTTCAAGCATATTAGTACTAAGATTAGCCATCTCATGCTTGGGCACTCAAGAGAAATAGATGGCTATACTTTTTGCGCTATACATTTTACCACCTATCTGAGTACCTAAATGCAGAAGTACCCAATCCTGAGCTTTCTAGCACATAATAAGCAGGATGATTTTTGTGTGAAGGATCAGATATTCTGTGGGTCACCTTTTACTCATGATGAATTGATAGGAAATGGCGTCTAAAGGTATTCTTTAGAAAGCGTATCTGCAGCAGGCATCAACTTAGCTATCCTTATACTCCATTGCTATTTGCTTCCAAAGCACTTAAACTCTATGCCATTTTGATGCATTTCTCACATAGACTTTTCACAGAGTAATTCTTCAATGAAACAGCGTGATTTACCCTACAACTTACTTGATCTGTTCTTTGCGTGCAATATGCTGTATGAGCTGCTTTGCCCTGAACCACACTTGAATTTTCCGTATTACTGATTGACATTTTAATATAAATTATCCTAATTATTGGAATAATATGAAAAATGAGTTTCATAAGAGTCTATAACTGTACAAATATTAATCAATGCTAATAAAAAGGCATAGGCAAAAATTTAAAAAAGTTTTATTTTGCAATGAATTGCACCAAATTGCAAATTATTCACTTGCAACATATGTCTCAAAATCTACTTATTTTTTAAGTTTTTTTTTTTTTAATCACTATTTTATTCACACTCTTAGGCAAACTGGAAAAAACATGCACATCTAGCTTTGCCATGTTTGATTAAATCAGTTCTATCCTACAATTCTTAGCATTTCCATACAGAAGCCTTCAAATGACTCCCGCTTCATCATTTATGAGTTCTGGGAGAATAGCAGTGCCTGGAATAGGTAAGTATTATCTTTTGTATTTCAGAAAGTTTTGAAGGTTAGAAAGCAATTATGTAGAAGTGCTGAATATAAGTTACTTCAAATACTACTAACTGATCTCTTGCTAAATGCATCGTCACCATTAATACTTCAGAATAGTAGTTCAATTGCTTAAGATTAAAATATATAGAAACTTTTAGTTAAAAACATCAGGAAGACACAGCAAGTCTGAATCGTGCAGAAAAAGACAAAGTGAAGAAAAAGATATGGCATCAGATGGACGGCAGTTGACTGCAGACTAAAGAACAAGGAAACAACAATATTAGCATAGTTCAGTGATGAGAATGAAGGATAAAAAAAAGGAGTCAATGAATGAGACAGAAAGTATATCATCCAGCAACACACTTAAGCATGCTACGAGTAACAAGGAGTGCTCTCAAAGTTTCCCAAATCCATATTGCAAACCTCCATCAGAGAGATTCCCAAAGTGTCTCTTTGGGCCCAAAAGAAAAGTTACAGTGATCAGAAGTCCTAACAGCTAAGTTCTAGCCTGCAGTTTCAGCCTGCATGCCTGAAAAAAAAAAAATAGTAGAGACAAAGATTTCCCTTAACGATTTTACTGTTTTTAAAAACTGTAAGATACTAAAGCTAGAATCTAGACAGAGACTGTTCTAAAGCAGGATGGAGAACTCTCCTGAAGCTTAGTATCATTGCTTTTGACTAGAGCCCAGTTCAAAGCAGGTGAGTTTACTTTCAAAAAGACTAAAGAAAACTGGTTAACACACATCAACACATTTAGAACACAAAGAACTGCTATACTGGGTCACAACCAAGAGATGAGTATCAGGATGAGAGAGAGTCAACTGTACCCAATAAAAAATGTATTTTTATAAAGAACTTAACAGCTAATCTTCTATCATTATCATGGTCTGTTTTGAAGTACAAAAATCTCTCTTATGGTATTTGTTATTAACGATAACAAATCTGGATACTCCTGATATACGTAAGAATATTTAGTGCCTTTAAAATGTCATTTTTTATTTTCATTCAAATCTCATTTTTTATAATTATCTAGCCACCTTCAAATGAATTACAGCAAGACATTCCAAAGATATAACGTGGACTTCTTGGAAACTCCAGAACTCACTACAACAATGCTAGTCCCTGGTAAATATCAACTTTCCACAAAATTGTATTTGTTCCATGTGAAGAGTGCCACTATATTAGTGTGTTATCTGCACAGAGCAAGTACATATCATTGCCCTTACTCAGATCTTCTTTTGTAAAGCATGGAGGGGAAAGGAAGTCTAATATTTGCATTTTAAGTACAAGAACTTATCAGCTAGAGTAAGACCCACAGTGCTTTATTTTATGTGGTACAGCACCTTATGCCAGCATATACTATTCACAAAAATGTCTAGAATATACAATACCTTTTTGTGAACAGTAAAATGGATCCAATTAAAGATCTGTAGGCAAAAAAATTACTTTCTGATGAAGATTTCAATTTAATTATATTTGCATTGACTGAATGGAGCCTTAAATTACCAATAACTGATATTTACCAACCAATTAATTGTACATGCTTCCTGCTACGTAAAAGCAAAACAGGAAAAAAATCCTACTCTGGAAAAGAAAAATGTTAAAAGATTCCAAATTGTTAGTTCTCATACAAGCCAACTGCACACATCTTGCAAAAAACATCTTCTCTCTCAAAGAAACAGCAGTTAGAGCAGATAGTTAAGGATGAAGCAAAACAAGCATCAGTCCTATGTTTGCAGAGAGAGGACAGAAAAAAATAAGTATTTTATCTTCAGACAGCACAAATCTGTTGCAGTGAAACCCTGGTTTCCTAGATCTCCATTGTCTACAGGGAAAAAAAAAAAATCCACCTAGCAAAAGAAATCACCTAGTCCTAGGTGACCTGAGGTCTCGCCTTAAAATAAACCAGACAAGAAACTTTCAGACTTGTTGATGAGCCCGATATAAACATAAAAATATACGTCAGATTCCTGCAGTACCAGGGGATTATCATTAATGAACTCAGAATCACTTCAAATCATGTGTCTTACTGGAAAATTGCTAGCGTTAGGGCAAAACTTGTCTCTAGGAAACAACGCAGCCTTTCCCCAAACCTTGGGTCCAAGGGCTAGCCTGGGCACGAGCCAGGAGTGTTCCATGGGTGGCTTATTCATGGCTAGAGAAAGGCCAACCAGCAAAATAAAATGCAAACAACATTTTAAAGTGCCTAAATATAAATGACTGAAATTGGATTTAAAATGATCATTACAGCATCCATTCTGACTGCTAAACAGGGTTTTAGCCTATAGCATTCTATCCTGACAGATCGTTGCCATAGAAACAACATTTCTCACCATGCATTCCCTACTGAGTGGGGGGAAGGTGAAGCGATGCATGCAGTTATTTTTATAGTTTTATAGATTACCTGAATTTTAGAAATCTGGGTGTAGATATCTGAACTATTTTAATGGGAAGTACTTCCTAAACTATACAGGTCATATATGCATTTGAAAGACAAAAACATTCATGCTCATCAGAAAAAAAAAAAAAAAACCACAATGGCTACAATGCTACCAGTATATTTTATGAAAGAATTTTAGACAGTGTAAAGGGATATTCCGGTAAAATCCAGGAAACCCTCACAACCCGTTTACAATTAATACATAGGCTGTATTTTAAAAACAAGTTTACCTCAGCTCAAATGCAACTACTCCTTTTTACGCATCCAGATAACTAAGAAATGAAACAATTCTAAGTCATATTCTCAATCTACCTCAATAAAAATTACAACCTAAGAGTCAGATGAATATTTAAAATGAAGAACTTACCTGGCTAACAACGATTCAGGAAGACATGGGTTTTCAGGACTGTTAGATCCAATATTATCCTTAAGCAATAACCACTGGAGATAGCAAATTCATTTACTATAATATATTGTGGTTCCTGTTAACTGATAATCACTTGCACATCTGACCAAGCTGCTTTAGGTCAATCTACCAGGGCGGCACGAATCATTCGGTTCCATCTTTAATTGAAGGCCTAATCTTTATATAAAGACCTGAACTCTGAGGACACTAAAGAACCTTTTGGCGAAGAAAACGAAAGATGGAGGAAAAATGTTTTAACATCTCTGGCACTGTGTTTAACATTAACTATTAAATTTACATTCATTTGACCAAAGTTTACTAATCCACTGATGTGTCAGAGACTAATAGACTTTCATAGCCCAGAGTCAGCTAGGATGCTTAATCATCTTCTTTAAGATTCTTCAAGAAGGAATTTTTTCAGAAAAATGCCAAGAACTGAAGGATTTATGGACGCATCCAGAGAGACAAATCCTATTAATGAATCTAACCTCTGAAACATACAGGACAAAAAGCACAGTCCCTGAGCCCGGAACATCCCTCCGCTAAAGGGACTTAGCATCTACATTTCCTCGCCTTGCCTCCCTCCACTGAATCTTGCATAAGGTTCAATTTCAAAAGGCCAAAGAGGAAGGACTGCAGGAAAGAAGTACCAATGTGTTTTACTCTGGCCTCACCTATAATCATTACAGCTTTCCTTTTCGATGAATGACCTTCAATAAGCCCATCAGTTCTCTTGCTTTTGCACGAGAGAACTGAGTTGCAAAGCACTCAATTCCTAGAATTGAGAAAAAGGATAAGAGCAGGTTTGAATGATGTAGAAGGAATGACAGTCACTAAAGGCAGCACGATCACTCAGGGGACACTGCTCTGCTAAAATACTGACACTTGCAGTAGGATTTTATCCTCACTCTGAGAGACTTTATGTAGTTTGTCCTCTGGGATTTGGGTAATGAATTCCATGCAACTCTAAGTCACATTAAGAGACTATCCATAACAGCACTGAGGAGGAAACGTAAAGTCTTTGGTTAAAAGTGTTCCCCTACCAATTACGCTCAGCTCTCCCATCATTTGAAGTATTTTCCCCCTGCATGGAGTGATTTTGTCCTTGAAAGTGCACAGCTTTCATAATAAAATAGCATTAGCTGCTCATACAAGTGACCGTTTCTTCATACTAGTTGTGACATATGTATTAAAGCTGTTTCATTTACAGTTTTACAAGAGGCAGAAAAAGTTAAAAATAAACAAACAAATTCTCTTCTCTTTCAGCATCATGGTGGGTCCTCAGTAACAACTAGAAGCTGTGGTTCCAACTAATGTTAATGGCACATCATTATGTTTTTCATTACAGCAACGTGCCTACGGCAGTATATAGGTATCCTGGGTTAAGAGATTATGATGTGATAGTTTGTCATTCTAGGTGACTAGTTCAGTGAAACAATGCATTCTAAAAGCCAAAACAGGACAACCGCGCTTAAATTGTTTGCCATGTACATTCAATCCAGGACAAGTTATGACAGAAGCATGTTTTGGTTGATGTGACTAAGTATTTGTGAATAGGTTTAGCCTCATATTAATAAAGAGTTGTTACTTCATGCTGTTTTCTCCTTTTTCAGAAGAAACAGGTATGAACTTGAACACATCTATTGTCATAAACTTCTTGTCTTCTATCTTAAAGAAAGTCATCATTAGGAGAATAAACACGGGGACAACTTGTTGTGCTAACAAAGACCTTCACCTAGAGAGGAGATAATCTGCCCAAGAGAAGATAAGGCAGTACCATTTTCTCTTCCCAGCCTCTGCCTTCCCTTCCCCCAGCCTCCCTCTCCCCTGCCGAAACACGCCTGTCAGACTGCTTGGATCCCTCACAACCAACGTGTTTTGAGCGCCACGTCCTGAATACTCAAGAAATAATTTCCATTATACCAGATCCTAAAACCGTCAGTTCACTGTTAGTTCTCATAAAAGGAACTACTGTTAGATCATAAACAGCCATAAACCTAGAAGCAGAAGTGCCACCTTCCCCAAGAAGTCATGCTGTTGCCCCGTGGCATCTAAGCAGCAAGCATGCCCTTCAGCCCAGAAATAAATCCAGACAGCTCTATCACATCTATGACTCCTCCCAATCCAAATAACCCACTGAGATGTTGTGCTTGCAATTATGCTCATAGCTCACATAAGAAGCAGGAAAAGACTAGTGTAACCTCTATGACAGGTTGACAAGCTGTACATGCTAAGTGACCACTTTCTCTGCTCTTTTAGCGCTCCCAGGGAAGATCAATACGAAATAAACACCCCCTTGAGAAATATGAAACAGGACACGGAGAGAAGCAGCTTACTATCTGGTTATGGAGTTGGGGAGACCAACCCATCTATCAAGAAAGCCCCAGCTGTTAGGAAGTCAATGTCTCCAATAAATCCTTTATCATCACCCCTATCTTCTGGGCACAGGAATGC